GGATCTTCCCGGACTGGGGCACGAACCCGTGTCCCCTGCATCGGCAGGCGGACTCTCAGCCACCGCACCACTAGGGAAGCCCCATTTCTCTTCTTTAATTGGCATCCAAATTGGCCTAATTATTGTTTGAGCTGTTAACTACAGCATTTAATAAAGGGCTCAAATTATTGCATAACATATTTAGGAGTATTGCTGAATTCTTGGAGTTTCACCTGAATTTCCCTTATTGTACCCTTCAAATTATGCCTTGTATGTGTTATCTTCTGTGTTTTGCTATTCTGAGGTTGTATAATTCAGAAGCAAAGTAGGGGTTGATATTCTTAAATTCACTGGCAAATCTTCTATTTTACTGTTTACAGATGAATGGGAAAATAATTTCTGAATCACAGAACAGAGAAGAGAGCTGATTTTATGCTAATTTTGTTAGAATTTAAATAATAAATATTCTTGTAATTTGGCTTTTTAAGGCAGATGATACTATCAAGATTGCAGAAGCTCTTTTATCTGACTTGTCAGGATTTCAATCTTTCCATCGAAGTGCTGAAGATCTCTTAGACCAGTTTAAACTATATGAACAAGAACAATTTGATGATTGGTCCAGGGATATTCAGTCTGGCTTGTCTGATTCCAAATCCAGTTTGTGGTAAGTGTAAGTATACTAAACAGTGAAATCTACACAAGAATCTTTTTTCTTGTGTTATTAATCCAAATGACAAGATGTAATTAATCATCTCTACTCCTCTCTCCTTTCTCCAAACTTGCTGATGCTTTTAGAATTTTTTTTTTGTTTAGGTTTTTTTTTTTTTTTTTTGCAGTACGTGGGCCTTTCACCCTTGTGTCCTCTCCCACTGCGGAGCACAGCCCCGGACGCGCAGGCTCAGTGGCCATGGCCCACGGGCCCAGCTGCCCCGTGGCATGTGGGATCCTCCCGGACCGGGGCATGAACCCACGTACCCTGCATCGGCAGGCAGGCTCTCAACCACTGCACCACCTGGGAAGCCCTTGTTTAGGTTTTATTTTATTTATTTATTTATTTTTTTGCGGTATGCGGGCCTCTCACTGTTGTGGCTTCTGCATCGGCAGGTGGACTCTCAACCACTGCGCCACCAGGGAAGCCAGTTTAGG